CCCATGGATGGAGGAGCCTGGAGGGTTACAGTTCATGGGGTGGCAGAGTCAGAAATGACTGAGCACACAGATATCTTTTTCTCTTCTCCATAAAAGCTAAGGTTCAGCAGGTTTTCTTTTTTAGCATCCACCTCTTTCAGTCCTAACAAGGCAGAAAAAGAGAGATAAGAAAGTTAACATAGGGGAATTCTCTGGAAGCCCAGGGGTTAGTGCTATCCACTTTCACTGCTGAGGGCATGTGTTCAGTTCCTGGTCAGGGAACTAAGATCCCTCAAGTCAAGCTGCCAAACAAACAAGCCAAAAAAGAATGTCAACATATTTTTAAAAAGGTTAGACATCTACTTTCCTAATAATTTTTCCTTGTAAGGGGACAGAGACCTTCTTGCATTCTATCATGGCAATCAATTTAAACTTCTCTGTCATTTAACATCTTTACCCACTAACTTCGGGTAGATGTGTCAACATGTTGATTAATGGATGTGGAAATATTCTTTGGAGAAAAGTTAAAGATGATCAGGAATTAAGAAATTTAATGGACTAGTTTAACAGCAGATCGGAGAGCAGATAAAAATATATATTAACTAGAGACTATAGCAGAAGAATAAGTAATGCATTCTGAATAGAGAAAAAGAGAAAAATGAAAGAGAAGTTAAAGTGGAAGTCCAATATTAGTTTGACAACTGAAAAAGATGAGAGAGGCAGACAGAAGCAAATATTTAAAGGCAAAGTGCTTGAAAATTTTTATAGATTTGGTCAAGCCCAAAAATCTATAGTCTCAAAGAGCAAGCCCAATCAATTACAAACAGTTTAAAAAAGAATAGATTCATACTTATATGAGTTAAATGTAAGCAACAGAAAACTAAAGACAAAAATATTACTTGAAAAGGGACAAGAGAAAAAAATTGATTGATTACATCCCCAGAAGTAGGACTTATGTAGAGAGTTGATTTTTCAACATCTACAGTGAAAACTCGATGTGGAATTACATCTTGAATATTCTGGGAGGGAAACTGCTAAATCAGAATTGCATCAGCAGGAACAGCATCCACGGAGGATGGGTGTTAAACAAAGACACGCTAAATAAAAGCAGTGTGGAGAAACGTGCGAGGTGTACTCTTCCTAACTCTAATAAATATCCAAACTTTGTGTTTTACTTCTTTAGACATATTTATATCTGAGAGTTCTTTTATAAACCATGTGTGATAAGCCCAGTGTCTGAGGTCTGCGTGTCTGTCTCTTCTGTCTGAGCTTTTTGTTGGCTCTAATTTGTGACTCTTTGTTTTACTGTATATTGTGGTAAGAAAAATAACAACATTAAAGATGTCAGAAGCCTAATCCTCAGACTAATATGTTCCAAACCTGTGAATCTGCTACTTCACTTGGTGAAATGGACATTGATGTACTAAGATAAGGAGTTTCAGCTGGGAAAACTCAGCTTCTAGGTGGCCCCATTCAAGGTGTATCCTTGTGTCCTTAAGAGCGTTGAAACTTTTCTGGTTTCCGGAACCATAAAGATGGTAGGAGTGAGACAAGGCTTGATTTAGCATTGCAGGCTTTGAAGATTCTTGCCAAAGCCTCCAGAAAGGAATATAGCTCTGCCAACACTGATTTTTAGCACAGCAAGACTTTGTTAGATTTTTGACCTATAAAATTGTAAAGATAATAAATTTATTTGTTTAAGCCACTGAGTTGGTGATAATTTGTTGCATTACCAGAGCAGTACAAAAGTATTACAATTAAACAAATTTTTTTTAAGTAATACAGTTATCTTTGGCTTTGTCTGCTCACTGACCTTGAAAAAGGTGTTTTTGTGGATTCTGTGAGACCTAGGAGGAAAATCCCTTCCTCACCCAGGGTTTGGACTTGTGGCTGTTGGGCACCAGAGGACTCTACTTGTGAGGCTATCCTTAAACGAAAGTAAAGTCTGAGATTCCTGATATGTAAACTAAGGCTGCCACATTTGTGAGGGCCTCTCTGTAACCCCAGCTTCTCAAGGGCTTTTTTTTTTCTTCCCATCTACTTATTACCAAGGCAACCTTCCCTACATACAGTTCCCTAGAATTGGAGTGAGAAGCATGCTTAGTTCTGATTTTTCTATTTTTATATATTGTATGTATTATAGAATGGCTATTTGATAACAGTTTGATAGGGTGTTTAGCTACCTTTAGACCATGCTAAAGTACATTTTAATTTTAACCTCTTTAAGAAACAAAAAGGAATTTTTGTGACTATAGAAATTCATAAAATGTGTGCTTATTCCTAATCTGCTGAGATGTTTGTGTATGACAAAAATTCTCAAGTATCAATCCCCTATGTTCGTTTTGTTAACAAGTGTAAGTAATATAGGTGGTTGAAACTCTACTAGATATATTGGTGGCAAGGAAATACTAGTGTATATGTAAGATAATAGATGTGTTTTTACTTACTAAGTGCAAAGAAGAGTAATTTGTTTGAAAACATAAATGGCTAGTTATGCCGGACATATATAAAATAAAAATGGTAAAAGATAAGACTTGAGATGAAATAGAAAGATTTAGAGGTTTGAAGGAAAGTAAATTATTCACTTTAGTTCAAAGTAACTGCAATATTTTTTTCTAAATAAATATTATTTGGGATTAATCTTCTATTTCTGTTCATTGAAAACCTAAAAATGGTGGAACATCATCTATGCTAATGGGAAGTAATTCTTAGGATAAAACTGATTTGGAAATTTTTATCTATAGTAAGAAGATAATGAATGGCCTATTAAGAAGCTATACATGAAGCCAATGAAGCCATAGGTTTGGTCATTCTGGAGAGCAATGATTCTAATGACTGGGTATGTTTCTTTCAGGGACCCTGGAAGCTACGCTGATGCAGTTGGATGGGAGATATTGACCCCTACAATGCCTGAATAATCTAACTCGAGGTGGGTCCTACTCTCACCTGCATGTATCTCATCTTTTCCCTTGAACTGTCACTTTGCAGTGGGAGGGAAAAAAATCTCAAAACCTGTTTGCCATGAGAACTCCTTTTGCAAAAGAGAAATGTCTGATATTATCCTGTTGGTATGCTTTATTTCTTATTATCATCCTAAAGTGAAATCTGAGTATAAGTGTGACCTTTTAATGTTATGTTAAAATATTTTTTAACAAGCTTACTTAAGGCTCATCTAACTTTAGAAGGATGTAATTTTAACTTAGTATTTACTATTTGGAATTTCAGATGTATACAATTATATAGTTAGATATAATAGCAAGCTACTAAACTGTGTTAATTTTCTTGTTAGTGTGGGGGAAAAAAATCCTAGATGTTAAGGTTGTGTTTCCCTTTAGGGCATTAACTGGTTTATATATACCTTAGAAATTTTATTTCAGTGTTCTTTTTTATACTGTGATTATATAAAGTCATTATTTATATTCTCTTTGGAATTGGCTTTGTCATCCTACCACCCCTCATTGAAGAATTAAATACAGTTTTGACATGTGTTCATCTATTTCAGAATTATGTTCTTTTAATTTATTTTTTTAATCGAAGGATAATTGCTTTACAGAATTTTGTTGTTTTCTGTCAAACCTCAACATGAATCAGCCATATCAGAATTATGTTTTATAACATAAAAAATTTTACTTTGACAGCAACACAGCCAGTTACTAAAGACAGCATCTTTGTTTTCTGGATAAATCCGTACATAGGCATCAGTTAGAGAAGGTGCTTGAAGTATCATCAAGAGATTTGTGTTAAGGCTCTGTAACACCTTAAAGGAAGTGTTCCTGCTTGTACAGCTTTCTATGGTAACTTGGCATTTATCATTCAGCCTAATTCACTCCAGGAAGCATGGTTGGGAAACCACTGAGAATTGTTTTACCCAGATAACAGACGGACATATGGAAAATTTGTAGCACATGTAGTATCAAATTAATTAACACAAAGTAGGTAAATGGGAGGACTGTGTTGTACAATGAAGTTTGACTGTTTCAGAGCCTTCAGAGCCCAAGGTCACCTTTCCAGCAAGAACTGACATACAGACAACTCTAACAATGGCAGCCTAGGGAATCCCAGGGCTCATTAGGCTGAATGGTGGCATGAGGACCATAAAAGCTTCAGACACAGACAAAGCACTAGGGAGAGGAGATCTCTCCAGCCCTTACAGCCAGCCCACAATTAGGGCTTGACTCATAAGAACACCATTAGGGCACAGACAGGGCAGCTTTGATGGTCATCTGAGGATTTCTCATTTTGCTGGCTCGAGACTATGAAGAATGGGCTGGTGGAATGAAGAGCAGGGTAAAATGTTCTTTCTTTGAAACTGATTGCATATCAGATGTAAGTTTCTTGGATCTCCAGTCTCCTCCCTGACACCCCTTTCTGACTCTGAAATCCTTTTTATACCTCCTGTTGTTCATACTCTTTTTTTCTCTATATACTGACATTTATCAATCTTAAATTTAAGAAATCATTTGAGCCTTGTTCTCGGTTTATATACTTAGAAGCATTCACAGAACAATGAAATTCCCACAGCATCAGGGAATTCTAGGGATAGTAGTGTTTTGGAAGGTGACTACAAGATTTAGATAAGATAGGATCAAATTTACATAACAGAAGGCACTGTGTTCATGGGGGCTTCCCTGGAAGCTCAACAGTAAAGAATTCCTCTGACAATGTAGGAGATGCAGGCTCAATCCCTGGGTCCTGGGAAGATCCCCTGAAGAAGGAAATGCTAACCCACTACAGTGGGTTCGCCAACTGGGAAATCCCATGGACAGAGGAACCTGGCGGGCTACAGTCCACGGGGTCACAAAGGAGTTTGGACACTGCTTAGCGACAATACAACAACAGCTGGATTCATGGCAATTCTGTCCTAAGCCTACCTAACTCTAATATAACCCATCTAGATCCTAATTCCCATTTCTTGAGTTATTTCAGTTGTCTCTCTTTTTTTTTTTGCCTTTTGTATAGCTTAAATCTCTCTTGTTCTAATTTAATTCCTCTTTCTTAGGTCACTTGGTATTCTTGACCTGATGGAAAAAGAAAATGATTCTAGGGTGACAGAATTTGTTCTTCTGGGTCTATCATCGTCCTTGGAGCTGCAGCTATTTCTCTTCTTGATATTTCTGTTGTTTTACATGGCCATTGTCCTGGGAAACCTCTTGATAGTGGTAACAGTGCGAGCTGATACTCACCTGCTCCAATCACCTATGTACTATTTTTTGGGCCACCTGTCCTTCATTGACCTATGCCTGAGCTGTGTTACCGTGCCCAAGATGTTAGGAGATTTCCTACGGGAGGGCAAGATCATTTCTTTTTCAGGATGCCTGGCCCAGATCTACTTCCTGCACTTTCTGGGAGCCAGTGAGATGTTTCTGCTGACAGCCATGGCCTACGATAGGTATGTTGCCATATGTAATCCTTTGCACTATCTGACAGTCATGAGCCGCCAGCTCTGCTTTCGGATGGTTTTTGCCTGTTGGTGTGGGGGTTTTGTCCACTCTGTCACACAGGTCACACTGGTCATTCAGCTGCCCTTCTGTGGGCCCAATAGACTGGACAACTTCTACTGTGACGTCCCACAGGTCGTCAAGCTGGCCTGCACAGACACGTATGTAGTAGAGGTGCTGATGGTCTCCAACAGCGGTCTGTTGTCTCTTGTCTGCTTCTTGGTCTTGCTCTCGTCTTATGCTGTCATCCTGGTCACCCTGAGAACTCGCCTCCGCCAGGGCCAGATCAGGGCACTCTCCACCTGTGCCTCCCACCTAACCGTGGTCAGTCTGATCTTTGGGCCGTGTGTATTCATCTACCTGAGACCTTTCTGCAGCTTCTCTGTGGACAAGGTTTTCTCTGTCTTCTACACAGTGATCACACCTATGTTGAACCCCCTCATTTATACTCTCAGAAACACTGATATGAAGACAGCCATGAAGAAGCTGAGAAAAAAACATGTGGCATCCTGCTGCCACGTCAAAGAATGAACAGGGAGAGGAGATTTAGAAAATATATTCTTTCTTAACATACTCTTAACTCATCCTGTACCTGAGTACAGGCATGAGAATAAATTTGGTGACTTTGGTATAAAAGAGAAGGCAGTATAAAAATTATAATGCATTGTTCTTGATTATAGCTGGGAGGCATAGGTGACTTTATCAGCTGTTAAATATTAAGCAAGGACCTCAGTAGTGTTTACTGGCCTACAAATGATAATAGGAATCTGAGTACTAGGGTCAAAGGGACACCTTGAAAGATGAACTCTTCTAGCCTTTTGCCTGTAAGTGGTCTCCCCTTATTCATTTCTCTTTTAAGCTCTTTTCAAATGAAAGAAGATAGTACAGCTCCTTTTGTGTTCTACTCCTCTAGGGTATAACATTTCCTGGTGGCCAGAAGTTCCTTCTGAGGTCTCATCAGAGAATCGTCCCAGGCAATGTGAATCCCTTTTGTCTTGTCCCTAACAAAGCTTGAAAACATCACAAACTAGCCTGCATATTAGTTTTCACCCAGGAACTATGTTGTGCAGCGTGCCAAATTTTAGAAATGCAATTGAACAACTCATTTGATAGTTCTTAATGAAGTTTATGTGTAAAGGAAAGGAAGTCTAAGGGTGTTGGAGTGAGGGAAACTCAGTATTCTGCTGTAGAGACTTCTTTAGAAGAGGCATTTCATTTCACCTAGAGTTTTTCTTTTAGCTGAATTATTGGGAGGGAATTGATAAGATTGTTCTTTCATTATTCATAATGTTTAAGAGCTCTGAACTCTAAAGGAAAAGAGAAAGAAATGAGCTGTGGTTTAAAGCACCCACCTACCTGGTTCCTGCCCTTGAGGTACTCATGGTTATTATTGCTCTGCCCAGAAGTGCTTTGAAAAGTAAGTAATATTATTCAACTTTGTTTTTACCAATGAACTCAAATTTGTTAAATAATATCCTGTCCAAGATCATTTAGAAAAAGTGTAATTAACCAAGAAAGCTAGAAACTTTAATCAAGTTTAAATTCATATATTTTGTCCCCAGGAAGAGTATTAACACAATCAGATGAACTATCTGCTTTATTTCACTTATACCTGCATAGGATCTTGAGACCTAGGAGATCCCTATAAAAGATTCACCAGAACATTTATATTTAAGATCATCTAGGTGGGTCAGTGGTAAAAATCTGCCTGCCAAGCAGGAGATGTGGATTTGATCCCTGGGTCAGGAAGATCCCCTGGAGAAGGAAATGGCAACCCACTCCAGTATTCTTGCCTGGGAAATCCCATGGACAGAGGATGCTGACGGGCTTCAGGGTCGCAAAGGGTCGGACACGACAGCCATTAGACAACAACTACAGCAGACCTATGACATAAGGCTCTTTGCGACCTTTCATGCCTAAGAAAAGGAGTTTATCCTGCTTCAGTTCAGTTCAGTTCAGATCAGTTCAGTCGCTCAGTCGTGTCTGACTCTTTGCAACCCCACAGACTGCAGCACGCCAGGCCTCCCTGTCCGTCACCAACTCCTGGAGTTTACCCAAACTCATGTCCATTGAGTCAGTGATGCCATTCAACCATCTCATCTTCTGCCGTTCCCTTCTCCTCTTGCCTTCAATGATTCCCAGCATCGGGGTCTTTTCCAATGAGTCAGTTCTTTGCATCAGGTGGCCCAAGTATTGGAGTTTCAGCTTCAACATCAGTCCTTTCAATGAACACCCAGGACTGATCTCCTTTAGGATGGACTGGTTGGATCTCCTTTCAGTCCAAGGGACTCTCAAGAGTCTTCTCCAAAACCACAATTCAGAAGCATCAATTCTTTGGTGTTCAGCTTTCTTTATAGTCCTACTCTCACATCCATACACGACTACTGGAAAAACCATAGCCTTGACTAGACAGACCTTTGTTGACAAAGTGATGTCTCTGGTTTTTGATATGCTGTCTAGGTTAGTCATAACTATCCAAGGAGTAAGTGTCTTTTAATTTCATGGCTGCAATCACCATCTGCAGTGATTTTGGAGCCCTCCAAAATAAAGTCAGCCACTGTTTCCACTGTTCCCCCATCTATTTGCCATGAAGTGATGGGACCAGATGCCATTCTCTTAGTTTTCTGAATGTTGAGCTTTAAGCCAACTTTTTCACTCTCCTCCTTCACTTTCATCAAGAGGCTTTTTAGTTCTTCACTTTCTGCCATAAGGGTGGTGTCATCTGCATATCTGAGGTTATTGATATTTCTCCCAGCAATCTTGATTCCAACTTGTGCTTCATTCAGCCCAGTGTTTCTCGTGATGTACTCTGCATTTAAATTAAATAAGCAGGGTAACAATATATAGCCTTGACACACTCCTTTTCCTATTTGGAACCAGTCTGTTGTTCCATGTCCAGTTCTAAATGTTGCTTCCTGACCCGCATACAGATTTCTCAAGAGGTAGGTCAGGTGGTCTGATATTTCCATCTCTTTCAGAATTTTCCAGTTTATTGTGATCCACACAGTCAAAGGCTTTGGCATAGTCAATAAAGCAGAAATAGATGTTTTTCTGGAACTTGCTTGCTTTTTCGATGATCCAGCGGATGTTGGCAATTTGATCTCTGGTTCCTCTGCCTTTTCTAAAACCAGCTTGAACATCTGGAAGTTCATGGTTCTGTTTAAATAATAATAGAATGATGGACTTTGAAAAATATTTGTATATTTGTTTTCTTTATTTGCTAATCAATTGCTATAGGGAGGATTTTCTGATTACTTAGTTTAAAAAGTATACCTCAGTGAAAAAAATGTCTGAAATTTGACCTAATGCCATGATTTACTAGATAATTTGCAATACTCCTCGCCATGTAAGAGCTTTCTTTACATTGGAATAAAGAGTGGATTTTCATTTTTATGCTGGGAGTTAGTGACTTTATGTTTAGGAAACTGTTTATATATATATATATATATATATGTATATATATATATATATATATATGTATGTATGTATGTGTGGGTGTGTGTATGTATATGTGGCTACAGAAGGACTTCTCAAAGACCAGGAACAAAACTACCACTTGGGTGATTTCTTAATAGGATGAATGAGGATGCATGGCATCCCTGGTACAGACTACGCCCTTCTATTTCCCTTTCACTCCATGATATTTCCACAGAGAGCTATTGTTTACTATAAATATCCAGAAGGGCTGACAGGAGGAAACTGCCAGTCACAGTAGTGTGTGAGTTGACAGGAGGGATTAAGTGGTGCTGAGAGTCAGCCAGGCACATTGCAGGGACATGAAGCTCCAGACTATCTTATAGTATCAGCTGACTGCAACATCCCCTTTTGCTAATGTCTCTTTCATAGGAAAATTGAAGGCCTTAGGAAATCACACTTATTAGAGTGTTACAAGTGTTATTTTGTTTAACATTCCTGAGAACCCTGCGGGGCAGATACTATTATTGTCCTCATTGAATAAAGAGATAATTGAGAGGTTAAGTCTCTTGTCCTCTGGTAAATAGTGGAGCTGGACCATGATGAGGATGTCAAACTCAATGTCCACACTTCTCACATCTCTGCTCTACTCCCCCAGGCATCTGGGCTCATATATTGTCTTCAAATACTATTCACATTCCCCAGGTGGATGTTGAGAGCCTTTATAATTAGATATTTGGGTGACCTGTTGATGCCTAGGGGAACCCCCAAATGGCAAGATGTCTACCACATTTCCAAGCACATAATAGGCATTCAACAAATAGCTGTTAAATTAATGCATGGATAATAAATTAATAATGAATTCATAAAGGAACAATGAATGAGTGAATATTAAAGGATCCAAAAATAAGATTTATTTATTAAAGGAACATCTTCCTGGAAATGTTTTCTCTAGATGAGGAGTAAGCACTGTGATGGCATGCTGACTTCTTTTCCATGACACTTCATAATTTCTAGGGCTCTTAGAGGGGATAATTTTGCAATAAGAAAGTTTCTGTTATCTTACTTATTGTGTATGTATATATATACACACATACATATATGACATAGCATGTAATTTCTTGTGTTCTGACCACCACATTTTAAAAGTCCTGTTGATATCTGGAGCTGGTAGCATAATATTCAGAAAAGCAAGATACTGCCTTTTGCATTATCAGTTGTCTGCTGAGTGCTAAGTCGCTTCAGTTGTGTCCAGCTCTTTGTGACCCTATGGACTGTAGCCTGCTGGTCTTCGTCCATGAGATTCTCCAGGCAAGAATACTGGGGTGGGTTGCCATGACCTCTTCCAGGGGATCTTCCTGACCCAGGGATTGAACCCACCCATGTCTTTTATGTCTCCTGCATTGGCAGACAGATTCTTTACCATGAGCATCACCAAAAAGTTTTATTAATAACCTTATAAAATTTCTGTTTTTCAGACTATATGTGGTCAATATTATCTACAGAATTCACAGGGCTTCTCAGGTGACGCTAGTGGTAAAAACCCATCTCCCAAAGCAGGAGACATATAAGATACAGGTTTGATCCCTGGGTCAGGAAGATCCCCTGGAGAAGGAAATGGCAACCCACTCCACTATTCTTGCCTGGAGAATTCCCATGGACAGAGGAACCTGGTGGGCTACAGTGCGTAGGGTCAGAAAGAGTCAGACAAAACTGAAGTGACTTAGCAAGCATGTATACACAGAGTTCACAGTTCAAAT